TGATTCTGAGGCTTTCATATTTGGACTGAATAACACCCCTGGATTTACTGGTTCGCCAGTTTGCAAACAAGAGAATTTCTCAGCCTCCATAACCAAGTAAGATAATTCCTACAGCAAATCTCTTCTGATATAGATTTATACATATCCTATTGGTTCTGCTTCTTTAGAAAACACTAACATGCATGGCAAAGAGGAACTGAGGTTGGTAATAAATTGACCTTAAAATAACGAGGTTATCCTGGATTACTCAGGTAGGCCCAATGTAATAGCACAAGGGTCATTTAATGTGGAAGAGGGAGGCAGAAGAATCAATGTCAGGGTGGTGCAGAGTAAAGGACGAGGTACACCATGTTTGACTTAGAAGATGGAAGGGGTACAGGAGCCAAGGAATGCGGATAGCCTCCAGAAGATGTAAAAGATAAGCAAATGATTTTCCCTCAGAGCCTCCAGGAAGAATGTGTCCCTGCCAACATCTTGGCTTCAGCCCACTGAGACCCATTTTAGACTTCTCACATCTGAGAACTATGAGACAATAAACTGGTGTTTTGTGTAGCCACCAAGGTTGTGGAAATTTATTATGGCAGCAATGGGAAACAAATGTACATGCACGCTTTAGGCCCCTATAGCTGCATTGCACCATTCCTCAGGAGCTGAGTGGCAGGTGCACATTTTCTAGTTCACTACAGTTACCACCTCTTCCTACTTTTGACATCGTGACACCTAAAACAGTCATTCAATACCTAGATGACCATAAGAATTACTAACACGATTCTGTGTAATATTAAAGGCTATTTTTTATCAAATAAAAACATTGAGAAAATGTGTTCATGATTGAATAAAATTATGGAGTATGTCTACAAAATAGAGCCCATAAAATTGTAGTTTAACATCCGGCTGCAGCTTTAAGTGCAGTGTTGCTGAGAAGAAATATTTCGATGCACTATGGCAAGTTTTTAGTGGGCTAGATAATCATATTAAAGTAGAATATACAAGCATTATATGGTACCCTAAACTGGAAACTGAAAGAAAAGTTGAGCACTGACACAGTTATCCATAGACAATTGAGCTAATTAAGCATGTGTTCTTCATCCTGTTATTTAAGAATATCTGATAGTAAGTATTCTTGCAAAATGAACAATTCCATATGTCCAATACCATCCATTTATATGTGCTTTACAAGCCTGAAAAGATACTGCTGAGCGCTCTTTTCCTCAACCAAATTCAGAAGTTTGAAGCTTTTTTACAATCACAGAACTGCTTTGTTTTAGCCTGAAAGCTTTGGGGAGTATTTTTGCTGTAGCTAGTGAAATGATCATTTCAGAATTAGTGTGACTTACAAATAGGTAAAAGGAAATCTAGGCTGCAATGATTTAAAAACAAAATAGACTCAAAGAAGTAAGACTGGATGCCAATAGGATTCTGCTTTTGTAAGCTGAATGAAACCACTGGATCCCTGTGACCCCAGAAAAGGCTTTCACATCTATGTCTTAGTCACTCAGGATGTGCCAGGGGAGATAGGACTAAGCCCAGATGCTGCCCTGTCGCTGAACTTTTGGATAAAAACTCAGGATACAATCACCATTCAGACTCTTCCCAACAGTTTAAAGGCAAATTACATTTCAGAAAGAGTACTATTTTGTACAACACCTCAAAACGTAATTTCATAAAACTGTTTTAGCACTTCCTTTCCTCTACAACAATTATTCTCTTGCAAAGAGCCATAATTTTTTTTCTTGAGATAATGATAATGGAAGTCTAATAGATGTCATCATGACGAAATTCCTTCCTAATTTCCTCATTCAGTAGTTCAGTCTTAAATTGCCACAGACTTGTTATTCTGTTTCTGAATCTCTCCCTTAGAATGGCTGCCAATCAAGTTAATCTACTGAATATGAAGTTTCTGTGATGAAACTCCAACTTGTTTTGTAGCTAAAAGCATCTGCATTTGTGAACTTATCAAAGTCAAATGTGAACCCAAACAAATGATAGAAATTTGAAAACTCACTGTTCCATACCCCTTTGGTTTTAAATTGAATAAATTATCCCAAGACCTGTTCATGAAGTCCTGTGAAGGAATAACTGCTTGAGTTTTTCTCCCTGCTGTGAATTCACTCTCTAAAATGGCTACTTTTAAAGCCATTAGCCTTTTTAGTAATTAAATTTCAATCACCAAGGGAGACTCCAAATTCAAGTACAGAGCTAATATTCATTGAATCACTGCTATTTGGCAAGCCTTTTCCTAGGCACTTTAAATATGCTTTTTATTTAACAACTTTAATAGGTATGTATTATTTTCTCCCATTTGAAGATTAGAAAACCAAGGCCCAAAGAGGTTACAGAGGCCAACAGGTAAACAGACTCCCTGCTATTTACCTGACTCCCTGCTCCTTCCATTATCACCGTGTAAGCCCCTCAGACTATCCACTTTTATACAGATGGTGCTGCAAAGAACCTCAGCCAATTCTAGCACCTGGAACTTTCAAATTCCCCTCACAAGCTAATGTTGCAATTGTTTCTGCAATTTTGAGTTAGTACATGAAATATTTTATATTATAAACATTTTATATTACAAACATTTTAAAACAATTTTACATACAAAAATACACTCTCATTTATTACTTTCAAATAAATACTGCCTGATTTCATTTTCAGAATAAGAGGCCGTCATGGATTCACTTTTTTTTAAGCTTTTATAGATTGCTGATATTTCTGTATCTTTTTCACAATGGCATGCTCATGGTCACTATATGTTTCTTTCTTCAATATGGTATTACTTTCAGAAGATTCTGGAAGGTTCAGTTTTCAGGAACAATGTAGTATAGTTGGGCAATTAATTAGAAATACTGAAATAAGCCTCTTCTACTTTCTAATTTCTTTTTGTTCACAAGCATTTCTTTGACATGCACATACTTTTTTAAATTAATAATTTTCTTATAAATTTATTACAATATCGTATAGTTCATGTTTTGCAAAGAAAATTGAGAGAACAAAAAAAGAATATTTAAAATCTCATGACCAAAAAAATGAATGTTAATATCATATGCATATCCTGGTAATCCTTTTTATTCTAGATAAATACTTTTTTAAAACAAAATACATAATATGATCTTGTATTCTCTTTTTCCACTTAATTTATCAGAGATAGTTTTCCATGTAATTAAATATTATTTTACATCACCATTTAAAAGTGTCTACTTAGCATTCCATCATTTGAATAAAGCATAATTCAATTTCAACTAACTTGCTATTGTTGAAGATAAAGGCGTTACCAACTTTTTGCCATTATAAAATGGAATTGTTGATACTTCATATGAAAGACTCACTCCCAACAGCACTCAAGAAAATGATTAATATATTCCACATTCTAACAAAGACTGGCCATTATGTTTGCTTAAAATATTTGTCAATGTGATTATCCAAATGGTAGTTTATTTATTTAATTCACTTATCCCACGTGTTTTCCTCCTGCTGATCTATACTTGCTATGGTGACCTACACCTCAGAGCAACAAAAGTGATTTATGGTGAATCATGACTAAAATACATTTATCAGCCCTTCCCATTCCTCAAAGTGGAGTGATAATGGGACTAGCAGCCCTGCTGACTCAATGAGGTAGGCAGATTAGAAGAAAAAAAGCACTTAGAAAAACAGATACTTTACAGGGGAAGGATACACATATGGCTAAGTGCACACCATGCAGCCATCTCTCTCTCTCCTTTCTTTTACTGAACAGTGCTTTTACTGAATTGACAAAGAGGGCACTGGGTTCATAAATAGACTAACAGCACTTTCAGAGCACTTTGGTTCAATTATCATGAATTAACTTTAAAAACAGCATTAACTTTTCAGCATATACAATGCACCCAAGAACAACATAGTTATTAGTTTGTTCTCTCTCATTGAACTTTTCCCCCTTTGTGCTTGCAACTGGTATGTAGCCTTCAAGAAATGACTTCTAGTTCCACTGATGGGCTGTCACTTAGTCATCAAAACTGTGTGGTGTTCCAAGACTGTCTCTGGCTTGAAATGTCTGCTTGATTGGACAGGTAGGATTTCCGAGGGAAAAGTACAGTCCATTTCTGGACAAAAGCGTAGATAAAGAAGTGTGAGAGAAAAATCAGTTTCCCTGGCAACTTCACCTTGATGCTGTGGGTCCTCAGATCTACAGGTTTGAATCTTTAATCACTCATCTGAAGATGATCAGTGATTAGTTTATAATCCACAATTATAGTTTAGTAATTTATATTTTAATAATTCTAGAATCAAAAAAACTGTGCATTTCATTCACAGGCCGCCTTCTTGTCATCAAAATACTTCAAAAAAGATTGTAATTATGTTAAGCCAATTATTTAATTAAAGGGAATAATATCAGAATCAGTTAAGAGGCTTTTGTTAAACTATTCATCTCTGTATTTTTTCACTACTTCACCTAGACTTTCTAGTATTAACCAGCAACTGCTGACACAAGTATCTGTTACCAGTATGATATGAAGTGGCACTCCTCCACTGTGGTGAAACAGATAAGAATGTATTAAAGTATGAAGGCAAAGGAACTAAGTTGTTTCATGTATTATTCCAACCAGATTTTAGCAAGAGGCAATGCCAATAAATAAGCACTTATTGTGTGCCAGGCACTAGGAGAGGCGATTTTATTTATTACTCACAACTATCCTGTACTGTGATTAACCTCACTTCAAAGATGAGGAAAGAGAACAGAGTTTAGCCATATTTTCAAAAACAGATGATTAACAAGAGGCAACATGGTGCCCAATGCATGTCTCCAGAGTTTAAAATCGAGTACTAAGTTAGTTTTATAGTACAGAATATACTTTCCTAGATGCCAAACACTTAGATCCACTAGATAGGAGTACCTTCCCAATTTGAAAATAAATTACTTCTTTACGGTTTCTTCATTTCTAATATCCCTTATTATCTGCCAGTCAAAGCACATCTTACTTTAACATCCCTCAAGACTGGTGAGAATTTATGTGTGTGGGAGGTGTGGAGGCATTGTTTCTAGAGGTCCTGCAATACCAGGTCTAGGCATGAAGTGGACAGAGCAAGCTCCTATTTCTTCTCCCTGTTCCGAAAATACATTAAATATACTGTCCTCAGGTAGAGCAGATATCAGATACTAAACTGATAAAGATAGATATTATACTTGATCTTAGCCAAATGGTTGAGAAGTGATTGATGAGGAATCTTAAATTGGTGATATTTCAAATAGTATCTGAAAGGTAACATAATCATTTTACTGAGATTTAAAAGATGCCTGAGTCATTCTAGGAGTCCATCAGCAATACATGCAATCTCTGTTTTTAAGTAGTAACATATCTGTAGATGCAAATCTCATCTATTTGAATAGATCAACTTCGTTTTTATAAGGTGACAATTTTTAACTGAGTCCATAAATTCTACAGCCACATCTACAGTACCCATACACACTAAACTTTTCAATAAAGCTCTGATTACAAAAATTATCCTCTTTAATCATATACTCTACTCTTTAAATTTTAAAATTCAATGTTTTTTAAAAGTCTTATTTAGAAGTTATGCTCCTTTCTCATCAAGAAGAAAGTTCCAAAGGTAGGAAATAGCAGGATGAGAAATAAGACCTCATCTCTATGTAACACTGAACCAATAATCAATAGACTACAGCAGCAGAATTTTTAAAAAGCAAGAGTACAAATTAATTAGTACATATAATTCATCATTTTGAAGTTTGTTACTAGTTTAGCAAAAGGCAATATTAATTTTTCAGCTATCTTCATTTCATTTTGGTAATTTATCATATGCCACACAAAGAGATCCCAAACAACTGTATACATGACATTTTACTGGCCTGTATTAGATTTGACTTCTGGTCAATAGGACAATGCTTTATGCTTTAAAATGAAAGAGTGTTCCTCAAAAGCACACTTAAGAGAGGAGAGATTTTCTTCAAATTGTAATTATTATTACTAAGAATATTTATTGGGTAAACATCTGCCCCTACTGATGAGAAGGACAGGACTCACTTATGTCCTACCTTGTAAGTCCTTGAGCTCAGAAAAATGAACAAAGGAAACTTTCAAACCTTGTTTCAAAAAAAGGTTAAAAGAAAAGTCTGCTATAATAAACTTTGATATTAACATGCAAGGTTAAACTGTGTAAAGCAAGAAAAATATACTCTTATGAAATCAACAATGACAGTAACATCTTGAAATCTATTTTAAATAACTTAAATTTTACTAAACTCACTCAGGATACACTCAATGTCTTCTCTTGGACTTGTCTGACTCCAGGTTTGCACATAGCTTTCTTCAAACTGGGATTTCCACCTCTACCCCTAAAATTTAAAAAAAAAAAATTTCATTCATTTTTCAGTTATAGTTTTTTTACTATATTTCCAGAGCATGATACTTTGAGTTAGGATATTCTCTACTTAGGATCTCTTCAATTTTTGTTAAAAGTTCCTGTATATGGGCCAGGCACAGTGGCTCGTGCCTGTAATCCCAGTATTTTGGGAGGATAAGGTGGACGGATGGCTTGAGCCCAGGATTTTGAGACCAGCCTGGGCAACATGGCAAAACCCTGTCTCTATAAAAAAAACACAAAAATTGGCCAGGCATGATGCCACACACCTGTAGACCCAGCTACTCTGAAGGCTGAGGCAGGAAGATCAATTGAGCCTAGGAGGTCACAGCTGCAATAAGTTATGATCATACCATTGCACTCCAGCCTCAATGACAAAATGAGACCTTGTATCAAAACAAACAAACAAAGAAAACGAGTTCATGCATATGATTAAGGTGAAGCACAGCACACTCAACCAGTTTTCTTTCATAAAGAGGAAAGTTTCTCCCTCAGTTCCAACTGTTAGGCATGAGAAAAATCAGACGTGGATGATAAGAAAAGGTCTTTGTTCATGTGTGACGAAGTCACTAAAAGCCACCCTTTCTAATCCTCTCAAGCCATCTTCTGCCACACTCGCTCAACACTTTATAAATTACTTATAGCACACGCCATACCAGACATTGTTGCTCAAAATAAGAAATGGTCTCAGATGGCAGAAAGCAAATTCTATTCATCCTGGAATCATAGTTCTTAATAGGAAGCCTAAATTATTAGTTGGAGTCTAACCAAATTATTTTTCTCAGATATTTACCCATAAAAAGTAACACAAACAAACAAACAAAACCTCTGGCTTTTGCTTAAGAACAAGCTTGGGGAAAGACGGCAATGTGAACAGCATTACTACTACCAGAAAAAAATGGGAAATGCTTTGAAAAGTGCAAAAACACTGCTGGACGTACTGTCTAGTATGCCTTTCTTGGTTACCTCTGCCTTCCATTGCATTTGAGCTATTTTATAACCCTGCAAATTCCAGAAAACTGGTAATAATGCAAATTACTCCTCTCTGTAGAAATGCAAATGGACAGAGTCCTGAGGAATGCAATTCTTTATTACCTTGTGGACACAGCAGTTTTGCATGTATTTGTACATTCGTTTCAGCTTTCCTCATTGCTCATCTATATGTTTCTTTAAATTCATCTCTGAGTTCATTGTAACATCTTACCAGTTATCTCATTAATTAATGAATCAAAATCTTGGGCATATGTCCATTTTATATTTATATGTACTGTAATTTTATTTTTAAATTATCTTTTAACAACACACTTAATTTTGTTCCTAGCTATGTAATTCAAGTTAAGTGTTTCCATAAATTTCATAAGTAGACTTACAGACTTTATTCACTTTTTCATGGAATAGTGAACATATGAGGCTCTTACATAGTACCAGATTATAATTAATATACGCTATAAAAGCAAATTTATAAAATAATGGAATAAAGTATCCTTTTAAATGTATTTTTTTTTGCTACAAATGAGAATATAAGACTCAGGGTTTATAAATCATAATCATCAATAAGAGAGGACAGGCCAGGCACAGGGGTTCACTCCTATAATCCCAGCACTTTAGGAGCCTGAGACAGGAGAATCACTAAGCTCAGAAGTTTGAGACCAGCCTGGACAACATAGCAAGACCCAATATTTCAAAACAATTAAATTAAATAAATTAGTTGGGTGTGGTGGTGTGTGTCTGTAGTCAGAGCAACTCGAGAAGCTGAGGCAGCAGTATTGCTTAAGCCTAGGAGTTAAAGGCTACAGTGAGCTATGATCCTGCCACAGCACTCCAGTGTGGGCAACAGAGAAAGACTTTGTATAAAAAGAGGACAGGCTGGGTGCAGTGGCTCATACTTATAATCCCAGCACTTGGGGAGGCTGAGGCAGGCAGACCACCTGAGGCCAGGAGCTTGAGCCCAGCCTGGCCAACATGGTGAAATCCCATCTCCACTAAAAATAAAAATAAAAACAAAAATAAAGAACTTAGCTGGCATGGTGGTGGGTGCCTGTAATCCCAGCTACTTGAGAGGCTGAGGCAGGATAATCACTTGAACCCAGGAGACGGAGGTTGTAGTGAGCCAAGATCGTGCCACTGCACTCCAGCCTGGGCGACAAGAGTGAAACTCCATCTCAAAAACAAAACAGAACAATACAGAATTCTACTTCTATTTATGTTTGCTAAAAGAACATTTTCCAGATTCATCTCTTCTAATCTATCTAAACACTAAACAGACCCATATATTGTTCTCTTATTTTTCTTTTCTAAATGAAGTTTTTAAAATTTTCTTTTATAAACGTTTTAATAAAGGAAACTAGAATTATTCAGAACTAATAAAGAAAACTAGAATGGCACTAATGGTCTGCCTGTGAAAATCTTAATTTTGAGAAACAATCAGCATGATAAAGGACAAATCTCTCTTTCAGACATCTCCTGTATAATAAAAATGTTAATCAGCAGACTCCAAAACCATTCTCCACACAGTTGGGTTGATGGTGATATCCTGGCAAATTTCCAAAGAAGGAAATTAATACTGTGCTCACTATAGATTGGAGGATACTCCCTTTGAGGCAGTCAACACAGTCTACGGGAGGTGTTGGAACTAGTGTGCATGCATGTGTGTGCATGTGTATGTGTGTGCAAGATATTCATAGTTATTCTCTCAGGTCCTTTTTGCCACAGTGGAAATAAACCCATCACTGGGAATTGCTTAAAACTAAAACATAGTCTGCAATTTTATAAAGCACCCAGAGCACAGAAAATGTTCTGCACAAAACTTTTCCAACTTGCTTCATTAAGCCAATAAACCATGATGGTCCTTCAGGAGAAATCAAACAACTGTTGGGCTTAGCCAACCAGACTGAAGACAAGAGGGGCTTATAAGTGTGCCTGAAGTATTGGCATATATTCACTCTGAAAATATCTATAAAAAGTTTTCAGATTTATGTAAAGCTTCTAGCACAGACATACAAATATTGAACCACAGAACTGGTTGTTTCTATACTTTATTACTTGTTTCATCAAAAGGAGTTTTTGAAGGTCTCTTCATCTAATCCCAAGACAATAAAATTACCACAATTAATCTTTACACAAATAAATTCTTTCAATACATATGTGTAAGTGGCCCAGGGAACCACAATTAAAAACAAATTTGATGAACAGTTAGCTTTTCGGTAGTCAAACATTAAAGCCAAATGGTAGTGTTACCTGCTTCATTGTTTAACAAGAAGTATTAGACTATAACATGGAAAGAAAAAAAAAAAAAACAAAACAGTAACCCTGAATGAGAAATGGCAGGTCTTAAAATATTAGATGTATCATTTCATCTCCAGATAGCATTTCTAAGCAAACAAAGAATGTTCTGTTTTGCCATGAGATGGTAAAGGAATCTCATTATCTCATGCAGTTAGATGGACAATCTCTGAACAGCTGAATCATGAGGCATTTCAAAGAGGCAGATGACCTTATTATCCAAAACTTAGAGAAGGCGATAATGACTCAAGAGATGAATGTACTTGGTATCATTTTCTGGGATTATCAATTTTAATTAACAGAAATTATCCAGCAGAACAAATAGCTATCTAATGCATAAGACTGTACCTTTAAAAAAAAATAAGACAATGAATTCAGTCCTTGCTAACTATCTATGCATAGATAATTACAAAATGGAGAGAGGAGTTACAGGCCTTGGCCAAATGTATTTATTTTGTAAGAAATGGACTTGTCCTCAGGTAATTAATATAGGCAAGTTCATTATGTGAGGTTTAATGGAAATAATTTCAATTTGACCTGATTGCTATGTGTTTG